ATTAATATACCTTGTGGGAAAGGCAGATTATTTCTAATGCGAAAACCACAGGTAGTCATTGACCGAAGTTGTGATGATAATTAGTAAATGTTTTCAATATAGATGTAATGGTCCATAAATTTTACTGTCTGGTATCTATACTGCGGAAGAAAAATCAACATTAATTCGTTTTTCAAATTGAACAATTTCGTCCTCACTATTTTTATTTTTTTCAGTATTTGGTCTCTGACACAAAATGTTTTATTGTTAAATAAAGAATTCCATGATATAAGATAAACATCAGTATTAATGTGAAAATAATAAACAAAGCAGCTTTTCATAAGTTGTGAACATTTTACATAAAAATAAGCTTTTATGAGATCAACGATGATAAAAAGATTAAAAAACGGTTACGAAAATATTGAATAATGAAGTATCATATTTCATCATTTGTAAGGAAAAGAAACATTTAAGTTAAGAGAAAATGTAAAAAGCGATGAGGATTTTGTTTGTTATTGAAAGCGAAACCACATGGGGCTATCTGCTGTGTCCACCGCGGGGATCGAACCCCGGATTAAAGTGTTATAAAGTCCGTAGACTTCGCACTGTCCCTCCGGGGAACAAAAAGCGACAAGGAGTATTAGAAATTTGAAAAATTAAGAGTGAAATTAATCAAAGATAGTCCGATTGAATCAGTAGAAATTAAAATATTACAACACACACACCAACAGAAAATAATTTTACGTCTCGAAATTAAAAGTAACTGAAAGTAAGACAAGTATAAAAAACTAAAAAAAAACAGATAGAAACTTATTAGGTAAGCAAGGAAAGTAAAAATACGAAACAACCATTTCGTAGAAGGTATACTCATCTTTATTTGCTTCGGGACATTCAAACATTAGATTCTGCTCGTGAGCAACTGTGCTGAGTAAAACAATAATTATATTACATGGAGAAAAAGAAATCAAAAGATTACATATATCGTCACGTTTTAAGGAATAACATCGCCGTGAGCATTTACATTCATCGCCATCTTTTGGCATTTTCAGAAATAACTTTCATTTGAATGTATTTGAGAATAAACGAAAAATATTGATAAAAATTGATAATACTTTTGATTATTTGATAAATGATGTATTACAGATTTCAGAATCATATTTATTACTAACGTAAAATGCCATTAAACAAGAGTATTTTTAAGTTTTATTATTATTATCATTATTTTACTTAGACAAATACTGATTTAAAATATCAACCAAAAATCGTCAAAATATAAAGCATAATACTCAAAATTACCCGTAGTTCAATGCACATATATATTTATATATATATATTTGAAACTCGGATTTTGTAAATAAAAATAACTATAAACAAACATTTACACAGTTACCACATTTATATCATAGGTCTAAATACTGATTGTTGCCTTTTTCTTCATTTATATCAAACACTGGAACGTTTAGGGATCACAAGTTATGAAAAATCTCAGGTCAGAGAAGTGGGAAAGCTGATACAATGTACATCAAAACTACCACGAAAAGTAAAAGTTGGGGATAAAAAACTAATTGATTTGTGCATATTCCAATGCGTTTATTCTATTACCAGTGAGCAGTTGAGAGCTATTCTTGCTCTGACCACGAAATTAATGCTAAAATGTACACATGTACAAACATTCCACCAACGACCTCTCTCAGCATACTCAACATATATATATATATAGTTCGTCCTATTCCATATCAGAAGGTGAGGTGAAGAGCGTACAGACATTTAGACTTCTAGAAACCGGTGTTCGATTTGCATACATTATATGAATCACGTGCAATTTTTTGATAAGATGATAATACAAGACAAACAAGACTTGACCAGAAATGGAGGACTATTTACAAGTTTTACAGACTTTCCCCTCATTTCTACGATCACTACAGCTAAAAGGAGCTATATAAGTTGTATACACTGCCTAAGTCAATCTAAGGTCAAGGTCACAGATGATTATGCCACAGATAAAGAGATACAAAGATATTGCTCAACCAGTTTATTTTTTGTCATGAGTTTAATAAGAGTAGCATTCCCTGGTGGTGAAGCTAAAGAGAGAGTGTTCTGCCAACTTTCTGATAACGATGGTCCGAAACCATAACAACTAATAAAAATCAGACTGATTTTACTCTTCGTGCATACACAAATCACGTGACTCGGACATTTTTTCTCATCTGATTATTAAACGTACCTTAGTTTTAACGTCAAATTATCACCCACAGAATATGTTCAATATCTTTACTCAACTTACTGAAAACAAATATTCATTAATTTCTCTTCTTATCTAGCAAGAGAAGCCAATAATAATACCTGAATTAATGTACCGTTCTATTAAAACAAGCTTATTAAAAACTATCAAACTATCCGTTCCATATTCTACCAAAATGAAAAGAATTAAGTTCCTCTCTCTCTCAGAAAACACCCTAAATTTATTTTTGAATAAAATAAACATCACTTTAGTTGAACAGTTCCAAGTGTATTCACTTGACTAAAACTAATAGATCTTTACCACAATAGCGTAAAAGATAAAATACAGAACCCGTCGACAAGCGTACTATTCGACGCAGGCGTCATATGATGTATGAGACACCAAAATTAAATTTAACTTGTTCTTACATCTTAAGCTCATAACGCGAGCATTAATTAATCATATTGGAACTTAACTGAACAATTAACGTTTAGATCAACAGTGTCGAAATCGCTGAGTCTGCGTAATAGCATTTTACTAGAAGACGTCTTAGACATGACCTGAAAGTGTTATCCCCAGATTATAGTTACGATTTATAACACTTTAACGCTACAGCAGAAGGACCTTTACTTGGAACTCAGCCTAAGTTTATGATGTATTGTAGTCTGTTCAGCAAAAAATCTCACCAGAAAATTAGCTGTTCAAAATATAGCTTGAAGATTCAGATCGTTCCCTGTTTTTTAAAAATTACACAAAAATGTTTTTTAATTAACGGTTGTGTGTGTGGTGTTAATCTTCCGATTCCAGGTCTTTAATTCAAGTCAACATCTTTTATAGGGGTACAGCCGGGGATGGAAGTGAGGAGTCGAATGACCACCTCTATATCCTAAAAAGTCTAAAAGGTCCGTTATCTCTTCTCTCTATTTTTATATTCGTTTTACAAGTTGAATATAGGATAAGATAAATCACTTAAATACTTTGTGTAGAAGAAAAACTTTGACAAAGAATAAAAACGTATTGATATAAAAGACTATTATAAAATAAACGTATCTTAAAATCTGAAGCACATTATATGCAAATATCCTATATGACAATTTTTGATTTAATTTTGGACTAGATTGAAAGTTTTATGTTTTTGATTATGTAAATTTTTACACAAATATTATATATAAAGTTAAGTAATGGAATAACTTCTAATAGGTAATGTTTTAAATAAAACATAAGTATTAATGCCCATACAGTTCAGTCTCTAGAAATGATTATCAAACCAGCTTTTTTTTTCTTAGAGAGAGAATACAAATAGCATGCATATTCGCAACACAAAATCATATTAGGAAACTTATGTACAAACAGCCTTGTTACGTTTACATGTGTTTAACAGTTATTAACTACATATAGAGTAACATTTAATACCAATTTTTTCGGCCTTTATCCTAGAACAAAATTCGGAACCATATATACATATCTATAGATTAAACGTATGTCAACAAAAAAATCCATGTTGACCATATGAAATTTGAATAAAACTTAAAGACGTCTTAACTCAATATAAAATGCTGTAAACAAATAGAGATGTTCAACAAATAAATACAAAAGAGGCTTAATATCCATTAAAATACAACTTAACACAACATGAACCGGAATTTAACGACGAAGAACCCACGTTTTGTGCAGCTTCTTCTGTCTTTTCATCAGTATGGCAAACAACAGTTTATACCTCACTGAGGAAACCCGAATAAACTGGCTTTTGAGTATTCTCGTGTATCTAATATTCAGCAAGTGTGATTGCTACAAGCTTATATAAAGTAAAATTACTTTAAAAATATAGGGATAAATATGACACCCGCAGAACACCACGTTCGTTGAAACAGGTTTCAAAAACAGCAGATTATCGTACTTTATAAAACATGCCATACTCGAAAAGGTATATTGTATCACGTTTTCGAAATACGCCCTCTAGTGAATTAGTTAACATCAAGTCAATTGTTCACATAAAAAAAAAAAAAAAAAAATAGTAACGGAGCTGAAGAAGAAGAACAACAACAAAAAAATAAAAATTGAAGAAAGATACTGAAACATTTAGCGTTTATAGTGTTAACCATACGTATGTAAATATGACTACGACTAGAATGACCACAAATAAAATTATGTGGAATGAAAAATAAATTTACTCTCCTCTTCCCAAACAAGTATGTCTTATAGATAGAAACATATTATGCTATTAACTACATTTCATATTGCTACTAATGAAAGTTACAAAGTTAAAATTCAATATATACATAAAGTTAGCCTAACACTAAACATTAACCCTAATGTCATCGTACTACGAAATTCAGAAACTGAATAACGAGTTTATCAATGAACGTAGTTCGCTGTGACACGAATATCCTGATAGGTGACGAACGTTATATTTTTGTAAAATCAAAGTTTTTCGTTTTGAGCTGCCAGTTTCAGTATGGCGCGTTTTTGGGCTTTTCTTCCTCTCTTTTTTTTTCAAAATATTTTGAAATTCAACAACAAAATGGTAGAGAATATATGAATAAAAACATAAAATAGTAGTAATACCTTGTTATAATGTGAAAAATAAAGAACTATTTTAAATATATACACATAATATGCGAAATATTTTTCTTTACTGTAACATTATCTATAGTGCAAAATTATATATTATTTTGAATAAACTGGAATTTCAAAACACAGAACAATGGGGTGCAATTTGCACAAGTGCTAGATGTGATTTGTTCTTCTTTAACTATTTCATAATTAAGTAAATATATAGCAACAAAAATTATCAATACACTGGTTTATAAATTTATACTTTTTCAAACAAAATATTGATTATCGTTTTTAGCAAGACTGCCACCTACAGTCACCCCGTGATCTTGTACTCTGAAGGCGTGACATCAACCACGATAATTTTAAGTTTACTAAACACTGGCTATACACAAACCTACATTTGTTTTTTCTACAGTTACATAAGGATTACAAATACTGCCTTTAGTTCGTGTAAATATTTTAAATTATTATTATTAATGCTTTGATATTTGCTTTAACTTTGAGCCACTTTTACATTATCAATAAAATGCCCCAGCTGTACAAGTCTCTCGCACGAACAGTGGTGGATGCTAAGCCTAATTAACCCCTTGTCTCAAAAAACGGTTATCATAATCCGGTGGTGTATTTGTTGGTCTTACTAGGGCGTTATATAAAAGTCAGAATGCAGAATATTCACACCTAAGACACTAAAAATTGATTTTATGTGCATCCTGTTATCATAGCTTTGAATTGAAAGTTTCTAATTTTTACCGTCCCCTCAGTCAGAGAAAGCAATGCTCACGAAAAAGGATCGTCTCTACAGAGAGCGCTACTAGCAAATGAAAATGTTAGGGTTATGAAGAAGTAACAATGCCGATGGGGGTTGCATAAATAAAGGTTGGCGTAGGTGTTGAGGCTGAAGTCGGCGACGGTGTGATGGCGCTTGTGTTCATCATATGATTTCCAGACGAGTTGACACATTTGTTACTGATTCCATCGCCGCCGGATTTTGACTTATTCTCGTCCAGCCACTTATCTTGTGAGCGCCGCCTAGCATTCATGAAGAAATTTCCCACCGTGCTCAGCTCCAATCCCAATTGTTGAGCAATCGTGAGTTGCATCTCTTTGGAGGGACGTTTGGTCTCCTTAAAAATAGCTTGCAGAGTACGGCGCTGGAGGTCTGTAAAAACCAATCGGGGTTTCTTGGGTTGATTGGGGTTTTTGTGATGATGCTGTTGCTCTTCTTTCCGCTTGCAAGCTAAAAAAATATAAAAATATAAAATCTCTGTTATTATAGTGTCAATACCCAATAAATATAAATGAAATTTATAGAGTCGATTTAAAATCAAGAATGAACATTAAAAACATTCACAAGTCATATGCATAATAGAAATGATAATATTAAGATAATCGATTTAGAACCACTTTCTTCATGTAAATTTCATGTATGAATCCATTTTCGACACGATTGGGAAAACAATATTAATAATATATAAGCGAAACTATGAAATATTTCTTTCATACAATTCAGTAAACTTACAAATATATTAAAATAACATTTATTCTTGCTTCGAATACTCCAGGAGTTCGAGTTAAGTCTTTGAAAGCAACAGAACCGCTTAATGGTATATTATTCCCAACGATAAATTACAAAAATATTTAGTTGGTTCAAAGTTAAGTACAGAGGGCGCTTTATTCATTCCTTTTCGAGAACTGTGTGCTAACAACCTTCATAAATGGATATTATTCTATCGTAACAATAATTATAATCAATATTTTTAAAATAAGCTATAGTACCATTATTTTTAAAGAACATTTAGACGTGATTCCTCTGTCTAACAGAATATCGATTTACATAGAGTTTATTGTACATTTAATATTTGGTAAGTGATGACTCACGTCAAAGAAAAAAATTGAAACATATTATTAATTTATGTTATCATCATACACACGCAACCACAGTTATAATTACTTACGTTTTTACTGACGTCAGGCTAAGCATATCATATTAACTCAGTTGTATACTGCGAACAAGTCCACGAACAATATTTGTTGTAGCCATAATTCTATCCTAGAAGAGCTCTTTATTATATTTTAAAGTGAATATTCAAGTAGACAATGTTTGTTATGTAGTCAGTACCACTATTATAGTGAGTTAAACGAATTCGAAGATTTAAATTATGACGAAATGACTCACTAAAGCAGCCATGTTTGGCATATATTCGTAAATAAATTAAAATAATATTTGCTAAAAATTTCTACACAATACAGTTAAAAGCATAAAATGCTGTAGATAGACAGAACTATTGACCAATCAATACGAGCTATAATCGAAAATGAGATATACAAGAAATATTATATAATATGAGATAAAATAGTCAGTTCTACATCCAAAAGAATAGGCAGTTCCTCAAGAATGATACTGTTAAAACAGTTCTACATCTACAGCGGATGTTTCACCAATTTGCATGCACACGAGAAATGAATGGAGAAGGAAAACAGAAACTTAAGAACACAATATATGTATTTATATCGTGATTTTAATATTGATACTAATATGATAAACATAAAAAGAAGTTTAACACTTTAATCTTGCTATTTCTGACCCCAAAGAAAGTACAAATGTTAAAATTTAAGTTATATAAAAAATTGTTTGTTCGTTTGTTTGTTTTTAATTATGCACAAAGCTACACAAGGGCTATCTGGGCTCTGCCCACCACGGGTATCGAAACCCGGATTCTAGTGTTGTAAGTCCGCAAACATACCGCTGTGCCACTGGGGCATCTACATTTGATCTCCTTGTTTCACGTCAAGAAAAATATATTAAAAGAGAAATACATTTCTTTATTTAATTTTTCCATAGCTATGTATCTTCACGCGTACCTTGGTTTAATTTCTATTACACGGTTGAGTGTTTACCCAAAGCTTTCCCGTAACGAACTTCCAGAACAAACACGATAAATTCAGTTAATCCGTTTATCACGAGAACTTGTGTTTTTCATGAAGTCTAGAGACTTGTTTCTGTTCCCGTTTCACTTTCCTACACAGAACTATTTGCCTTTGTTTGAAATGTCAGGCTACTTTACTGATTTAAGTGATAAATGGGTCACGTAGTTTTTCATGCAGTATTAACCACCTTGTTATCAATCTCACAACTTTATATTTAAATACCTTTGCCGGCCGAGCGTAAACCAGTGGCTAGCGCTTCAGACTATGGATTTGCGGATTCAGAGTTCTTGTCCCGTTAACATACACACACAAAATCGTGCTCCGAAGATTGGCGCCATGGATATATTATAAGAGTGATGGCCAAATCACAGTATTCGAACAGACAATAGCAGGCTAAGTATTGATGATGGTTGTTGTTGAATAATATATCGGTTCAAAAATATCGATGGCTAGCGCAAATATTCCAAATACAAACAAACAAAAGTAACTTTATAATTGAATGATTATCGAGTAACACAGTTTGTCGTATACAAACATTTTGATTTCAATTAAATGGATCTACTTCAAAATTATTAAATCAGAAACCGCTGCACCTTGCATACGAAAATAAAAAATGATGTTACAAGTGTTGCTACAACACAGGTGAGATTAGATCAAAATAATTACAGAAGAAAGATAAAACAGAATACGTTATGTTTTGTCTTATACTACATTAAAATAAATTTTTAATAGTTTATTTCTTAAGTAGAGGTGATAATTTGCCCTTATTTCTATCCAATATTTTGTAGAATGTTAGGAATGATCATCCCCAAAATTATTTCTAAAGTTTATATATGAAATTAATAATATTGTAATGTCAAAATTTTTTATTATCTGTTACGTGCATTTTCTAATTTAAGAAACCGAATCCTAAACGCCATAAACTTATAAACGAGGTTTTTCAGAAAGCAACCAGACTTTCACTCCCACACTACGAAATGCACCAATAACCGTCCGCTGCTAGTGTTGTTTTGACTACAGCTGCAAGTGATATTGGTTGATTGTAAACTGATATGGTTGACCTACAGAAAATGAAATTTCGTTTCTTTCTGAACTTCTCTTGTACATAAAAAACTTATCCTAAATTGCAATATTTTAAAACAATATTTATTATCTACTTTTCTTTTCTTGTTCTTTACATGTTTTTTGAGACACATTTCTTACGTTAGATAAATAACTAGTTGGTGTTTTAGAATGAGCTTATAAAACATTAACCAAAAAGTGAATCCTAATGGACGAAGTGATTCGTAATCTTGATATGCAGTCTAATAGTAAGGAATATTTGGTTTAATCGCGAAATACTATTAACACTGGACAATTGATGCAGAAATCTGGTAAGTTCACTGTTTCATTCAATAAATTAATATTTATATAATGCTCAGAAGTGTTACAGAAATCGGAAATACTTGGTAAATGTTTTGAGAAAAAACAATTGTCATGAAAGATCACTTTATAATGCGGTATTTCTATAAATGTTTAGGTTAACGTGAAGCATAGGAAGATATTTATAACACGAAAATAAGCAATTGTGTAATTATGATGATAAAAGATGCAATTATGTCCAATAAAAAATCTCAAAGTAAGAATTTAATCAGTGAAAAATTAAGGATGCCTATAGACGATGTATATAAAGTTTGAATAAAGTCATATTTTCACTAAATAAGAAAATTTAATAAACAGTTTTTGCTAACGTGTGTTTGAGTGGTTAAAATCCTTAATGCCAGTTTTTATGTATATAAAGTTTGAATAAAGTCATATTTTCACTAAATAAGAACATTTAATAAACAGTTTTTGCTAACGTGTGTTTGAGTGGTTAAAATCCTTAATGCCAGTTTTTATGTATGTTTGTTTTTTCTCAATGTTTCATCAAATCGCATTTGATAATTATAAATAGGTAGTATTGTTTCTGCAATTAAAGTGTCCATACTAGATATAAAAAAGTCATAAAAAATTAATAGTACCAAAAGTAGGTGCATTAACTATATTTTATAATTTCCGAACCCAAAATTGATTTTAACTGGTGTATTTGAATGCAATTGATACTAACTAGTTCGTCATTATGCTTTATGTAATGTGTATCTTAATCAGATCCACAGGTTATTCTCTGTCGCTGGATAAACGTAAGTAACTCGCGTTGTTGATATCACAGTTGCTAAATGATTTAGTTTAAACATTGTGGAGTTTTATGTCGACCGTTACTTACATAACCGTTTGAAAGCTGTCACGTTGAAAGTCATAGAATGTAAACATTAGCACATTATGCACCATACAGCGTTCTGCAAGAAAGCAAATGTTCTCAGATGAATTAACCTGTAATGCGCTTTAAAAAATCACAACTTATATTTAAGGATGGGTTAGTTTGAGTTTTACAAAGTGCCTTACCAAGAATATCTAGCGAGTTGACCATTCAACTAACTCACTTCGTAGTACACTTTCTTGTCGAGCGAGAGATCTTGAGTTCGATAATAATTCAAGAAAAGGGGATTACCGTAATAACAAATGTACTCTTTAAATACCGTTAAAATATAAGGTTTTCGAAGTCTCTTCATCAAATGATGATCTTAAAGCAGCTATCTTCATTTGGAGTCTTAACATCATACCTATATTTTAGCGAACTGATGTGATGAAGCGAAAGAAATGACGAAATCAATGCATAACACTGAACAGAGTCTGTATTGTTGCTTCCATCCTCAATACCATTGGAGTAGGTTTGTTAATTATAATCTAATATAGATGTCCTACGGTAAATAAATCTGTCTTCTTTCTCGTATAGAAACTTTTTCCTTTCTTTACTTCAATGCTTATAGTCCAATTTTATTTCATGTTTCCTATTCTCATGTCTACTACATCATAAAGAAAATAAAAAGGTTTAAGACATAAAATATATTATTGAACAGGAATCTCAGCCATAAAATCAATACTTTTGATAATATGGTCGTTTAAATGTTAGACCTGGAAAATTTGATACTGTCGGATCCTGGATTTCATCTTTGTAACAAAATTTTATTTACAAATTACTGTTCCATACCCATTTTTCTAAATAAGTTTTGTTCCTTTTTAGTGCAAAGCTAAACAATGGGCTATCTGCGCTCTGTCCATCATAGGGGAATTGAATTCCGGATTTTAGCGTTGTTCATGAAGTTACCGATAATCCACCGGCGTGCATGATTAATGTTGTTAAGAATGAGGAATATAAGTACTGGCTTCTTATAGTTCTTGATTAAGTTGGCTTGATGCATGCTTATTAGTAATTGCAAATTAATGGATACT